AGCCCCCAAATTCACCTATCATCGCCGGCATAACCATAACAAAGAATACAGTTTACGAGTTTCTTAAGGTAGGCGTGTTCTGAGGAGTTTTCTAAAAAAACGGGTGTTTGCCCGTTGTTCCTCTCGAGAGTCTCGATCTTATACTCTGCGTTATTGTTTAATAAACGAGAAAAAAAAAAATTAGTTGTTCGGAATTATATTTTCCAAGAACCGAATTCCGGCAGCGGAAATCAACAACGCCAGCGACGAAGGAGATCAGAATTCGGTTCGGGAACCGAATTCTGAGCCTCAGCCTCAACAGTAAAACGTTCTATTGCTGTAAATAATGTCGGTCTATTTGGGGAATATTTTTTTAAAAAAATATTATTTCTGAAAAAAATTCTACTTCTTCGTGTCTTTGAATTTGTCTCTAGTGTTCCCCGCAGATCCTTCACGTTCACGCGTAACCTGGAACAAGAATCTAATAACATTTGAATGCACGTTTGGTTCTGTAGTCCAATTTTAAATAAAAATCACATCGAAACAGATGAAAAGCAACATGTTACTTTCATTGATTATGATTCACGTCTATTCAAAATTAATCAACATACTCCGAACCTTCCTTCGTAAGTGTATCAAAGAAAGCTTAACTGAACTAAGGAACCTCTGAATCTATGTCTATCAATGTCTGCGATCCTTCTTCCCTCAGTCTCAATCTTTCTGCTCCACGTTCTCATGGCAGCTTCAGATTCTCTTCAAGACACCTATCTCCAGTGCCTCACTCTCCACTCTGACCCCTCTCTTCCAATCTCCGGCGTCACCTATTTCCCCAACAGCCCCTCATACCCTTCCATCTTGGACTCCTACATCAGAAACCTCAGATTCACTTCCGCCACAACCCCAAAACCATCCTTCATTGTGGCCCCCACCCACGTGTCCCACATCCAAGCCTCCGTCATATGCTGCAAAAGATTCAATCTTGAGCTCAGAATCAGAAGTGGGGGGCACGACTATGATGGCCTCTCGTATGTCTCCGAAGCACCCTTTGTGATTGTGGACATGTTCATGCTCAGATCGGTGGAGGTCAACTTGGAGGACGAGACCGTGAGCGTTGACTCGGGGTCAACGGTTGGTGAACTCTATCATGCGATTGCTGAGAGGAGCAAGGTGCATGCTTTCCCTGCTGGGGTTTGTCCCAGCGTTGGTGTTGGAGGGCACTTCAGTGGAGGAGGCTATGGGAACTTGATGCGAAGGTTTGGTCTCTCTGTGGATCATGTTTTGGATGCTGTAATTGTTGATGCTGAAGGGAGAGTCTTGGATAGGGAATCAATGGGGGAGGATCTTTTTTGGGCTATTAGAGGAGGTGGGGGTGCTAGCTTTGGAGTCATTGTTTCATGGAAACTTAGGCTTGTTCCTGTGCCTGAGGTTGTCACTGTTTTCAGAGTTGAAATAACATTGGAACAAGGTGCCACTGATATTGTTCACCACTGGCAGCATGTTGCTGATAAGATCCATGATGGGTTGTTTATTAGAGTGGTTCTTAGTCCTGTGAAGAGAAAGGGTCAGAAGACAATAAGGGCCAAGTTCAATGCCTTGTTTCTTGGGAATGCACAAGAGCTGCTTGATGTAATGACTGAGAGATTCCCTCAACTGGGTTTGGTTGCTGAACAGTGCATTCAGATGAGCTGGATCGATTCGGTGGTGTTTTGGTACAACTACCCTGTGGGTACTTCGGTCGATGTTTTGCTCGAAAGGCATGCTTCGCCTGAGAAATTCTTGAAGAGGAAATCAGATTATGTGCAGCAACCTATTTCCAAAGCTGGTCTTGAGGGTATATGGAAGAAGATGATGGAGCTAGAGAAGCCTGTTCTCACATTCAACCCCTATGGTGGGAAAATGGGTGAGATTTCTGATGTGGAGACACCGTTTCCACATAGAGCTGGTAACGTGTTTAAAATTCAATACTCCGTGAGTTGGAAAGAGGAGGGTGAAGATGTTGCTAATCGTTATCTAGATCTGATTAGGAAGATGTATGATTACATGACCCCTTATGTGTCAAACTCACCTAGAAGTTCTTATCTGAACTATAGAGATGTTGATATAGGGGTCAATGGACCTGGAAATGCTACTTATGCAGAGGCTAGTGTTTGGGGTGAGAAGTATTTCAAAAGAAACTTTGATAGACTGGTGGAGGTGAAGACCAGGGTAGATCCAAACAATTTTTTCAGATATGAACAGAGTATTCCATCACTTGTTGCATCTGGTCCAAGGATAATGTCAGAATAGAAGAAGCCTTGGAAGCTTGAGGAGGAATAAAATAAAATAAAGGTCTGATTGAGGACAAAAAGGTATCTAGAAGCAATATCCTGGAAAAGCAGTGCAGACTTATTATAGAAGTTTGCTATAAATTTGATTAGTTAGAGTTAGAGAATTTTTTTTCTATGCAATTGTATTTTCCCTAATTAAGGGACATATTTAATTTGAACTCTATGATGACTTTGCTACATTAAGAAAAGTGATAGTCCAATTTAATTTGTTGAAAGTTATTTAAACAAATTTTTTACTCTGCTTTCCTTAAATCATGTCTACTCAATTGCTTTCATTTAGTTATTTATGCACTTTCCTTATGTTAGTAAAACAATTCATTTAATATTAATTAATAGTGCCAAAGTTAAAATTATCGAGTTTAAATATCTTTCTGGCTAAATAAAATATTATAGTTTTATCGTTTTAATTTTTCATTTTTAAAATTTAACAAACTAATCTTTATAGTTTTTCAGTTATTTCTCCGTTTGTTTTTATCATCATTAAATTATATGTAGAGGTTTTATTTTTTAAAATTTTAAAAATAAAATTATAATACTTTAAGAGACAAAATTCCTATTTAAACATGATAATTGTCTTTTTTTTTTCTTTATCTTTTTAGTATGGTTATGTATTATTTTTGAAAGTTATTTAAACAAATTTTTTACTCTGCTTTCCTTAAATCATGTCTACTCAATTGCTTTCATTTAGTTATTTATGCACTTTCCTTATGTTAGTAAAACAATTCATTTAATATTAATTAATAGTGCCAAAGTTAAAATTATCGAGTTTAAATATCTTTCTGGCTAAATAAAATATTATAGTTTTATCGTTTTAATTTTTCATTTTTAAAATTTAACAAACTAATCTTTATAGTTTTTCAGTTATTTCTCCGTTTGTTTTTATCATCATTAAATTATATGTAGAGGTTTTATTTTTTAAAATTTTAAAAATAAAATTATAATACTTTAAGAGACAAAATTCCTATTTAAACATGATAATTGTCTTTTTTTTTTCTTTATCTTTTTAGTATGGTTATGTATTATTTTGGTATTTTTCAAACTAATTAAGTTTATCCATTTTTAAAAGATTTAATTAATAACTTGGCCTATACCTGCATCAACTTTGCGCTTTAATTTTTATACCTAATTTTTTTTAATATATTTTTTAGTTTTTATATAAACAATTTTTTTTATGATTTATTTTAGTCTTTGTTACTTTTCAACAAATGAGAATAATTATATAAAATGTGTAAAAAAAAAATCCTAATGTTAAAATAAAGGTTGTATTACTTGAACTGAACCCGCGACAACTAACTAGCGAACCGAACCCATGAAAGGTGCATCAAAGCACTTACAATTGTTGCGACCAACAACCTCGCATTGTTGTTCATACAGATACAGTACTACCTCATCTCTCGTATCACCACGCTATGTGTCCACAGAGACAGAGTCACTACTCAACCTCTGTTACCAAAGGGATCTTCCCAGAGCCATCCACGTCTTGGATGCCATGGAAAGACGCGGCATCTGGGCCGATGCCATCACCTATTCCGAGCTCATCAAGTGTTGTTTGGCTCACGGGGCCGTCAGGGAAGGCAAGCGCGTTCACCACCACATTTTCTCAAATGGGTATCACCCAAAAACCTTTCTTACCAACATTCTCATCAACATGTATGTCAAATTCAACCTCTTGGAAGAAGCACAGGTGCTGTTCGATAGAATGCCCGAACGAAATGTTGTGTCGTGGACGACTATGATATCTGCTTACTCTAACGCCAGGCTCAGTGACAGGGCCATGAGGCTTTTGGTTTTCATGTTTAGGGATGGTGTCATGCCTAACATGTTCACTTTCTCTTCTGTTTTGAGGTCGTGTGAGAGGTTATCAGTTCTCAAACAGCTGCATTCTTGGATAGTGAAAGTGGGGTTGGAGTCTGATGTCTTTGTTCGCAGTGCTCTTATTGATGTTTACTCGAAATTGGGGGAGTTGTTGGAGGCTCTGAATGTTTTTCGTGAGATGGTGACTGGAGATTCTGTGGTCTGGAACTCCATTATTGCTGCTTTTGCTCAGCACAGTGATGGGGATGAGGCTTTACACCTCTACAAGAGAATGCGGAGAGAAGGCTTTCCGGCTGATCAGTCAACGCTTACGAGTGTTTTGAGAGCATGTACTAGTTTGTCGTTGTTGGAGTTGGGGAGGCAGGCCCATGTCCATGTGCTGAAGTTTGACCAGGATCTTATCCTCAACAATGCCCTTTTAGATATGTATTGTAAGTGTGGTAGTTTGGAGGATGCAAAGTTCATTTTCGGTCGGATGGCAAAAAAGGATGTGATCTCTTGGAGCACTATGATTGCTGGGTTAGCCCAAAATGGTTTTAGTATGGAAGCAATCAATTTATTTGAGTCCATGAAAGTGCAGGGTCCAAAACCAAACCATATTACAGTTCTTGGAGTTCTGTTTGCGTGTAGTCATGCAGGGCTAGTAAATGAAGGTTGGAACTATTTCCGATCCATGAAGAACCTATATGGGGCAGATCCTGGAAGAGAACACTATGGTTGCATGCTTGATCTTCTTGGAAGAGCTGGAAAGCTTGATGACATGGTTAAGTTAATTCATGAAATGAATTGTGAGCCAGATGTTGTCACGTGGAGGACTTTGCTCGATGCTTGCAGGGCCCGTCAGAATGTGGATTTAGCCACGTATGCTGCTAAGGAGATTCTAAAGTTGGATCCTCGGGACACAGGAGCCTATGTGTTGTTATCTAATATTTATGCAATTTCAAAAAGGTGGAATGATGTTGCAAAAGTTCGGAGGGCTATGAAAACAAGGGGCATAAGGAAAGAACCTGGATGTAGCTGGATTGAAGTCAATAAGCAAATACATGCTTTTATTTTGGGAGATAAATCACATCCTCAAATAGATGAGATCAATAGACAATTGAATCAATTTATTTGTAGACTAACTGGCGCTGGTTATGTTCCTGACACAAATTTTGTACTGCAAGATCTTGAAGGGGAACAGAGAGAAGACTCTCTTCGATACCACAGTGAGAAACTGGCAATTGTTTTTGGTATCATGAACTCTTCGAAGGAGAAAACTATTAGAATATGGAAGAACCTAAAGATCTGTGGCGATTGTCATATATTTGCAAAACTTATAGCAAAGTTAGAGCAGCGGCATATTGTAATTAGAGACCCTATTCGATACCATCATTTTCGAGATGGGGTCTGCTCCTGTGGCGACTATTGGTAGCAAATGAGAGGCACCAAGACCAAGACAGAATCTGACTACTTTTGGGCTCAAAGCAGCACACTTAAATCTACAATCAGCTGATATTTATAGGAGAATAAGTTTGCAGCAATAAAATTGCTGTTAGTTAATATGTCAGACAAGTTGAGTAAGATTATTCTTTCTATCAGCTGATATTTACTGGAGAATAATGTTTGCAGCAGTAGCATTGCTGTTAGTTGATATGTCAGTCAGGTTGAGTGACCTTATTCTTTCTCTTTTTCTTTATTTTCTTAAACTAATAGTTCAAACTATACTAAACACCTTGAACTATGGTTTTAAACTGCAAATTAATTGTTTCAGTTAAATATAAGAGAAGTCAAGTCTCCAGCACTTCATCCAGTTTTCTATGTGCCCCAGCCTCAGCTCTTTTTACCCCAGTAACTCTGTAACCTCTCCCATTTTCTACTTCCCAATATTTGGGCAAGGTCTCTTGATTCCTTCACCTATGTGCTTTGATTCACCTCACCTGCGACTATTACTCATGCTACCACCAACTCTTTATATTGTGTTTAACAGAAAGAAATGGAAAGATGGTCTTGGATGCATAATGGGATTTTTGCTAGCAAATTCACTCCTGCAACACAAGAAAGTTTGTTGTATAACATGGGATCTGAAGATGACTCAAATGTGAGATTCTGATGATGCTTTGGGGACGTTGCCTTTTGGAGCTTTTGATGGTGCCTGAAGCAAAACCTGATTGCAGCTGGTGCGTTGGTGAAGGGAAACGAGCAGAAAGCGAGGTTGCTGGGTTGAACATGCTCCTTGATTGCTGGTTTTAGCAAAAAGCATTGTCCAAAGGGTTTTGTTGACACAAAAAGACTTCATGGGCATAAGTTTGGCAATGCCTATATTTTAAAAGCTAAAAACCTATTTTAGTCCCTTATAATAATTATTTATTTCAATTTAGTCCCACTTTTATTTTTGATTTCAATTTGGTCCCAAACTAATCAATTGGTTTTAATTAGGTGCCTAATAAATTAATTGATTTCAATGTGGGACTTCCGTCCAAATTTCTTTAACGGTGTTAACTGTTGGCCACGTGGATGTCACGTGGATGACACGTGGATGCCAATTTTTTTTGAAAATACCTTGAATCAGAACGGCCCGTTCTGAACCCAAAACGTCCCGTTCCAAAACTGAGTACAGAATATTATTTATTAATTTTATTAAAAAATATAATAATTTTGAAAAATATTTTTTTATGGTAAAAAATTTAAAATTACTTATTTTTATAAAATAAAATTATCTTATAAATAGAGTACTAAGTTTTTATTTTTCTCTTTCTATCTGAAGAAATATTTAAGTGTCACTTTATAATTTTTTGTAACTTATTTAAAATTAGAGGAATAAAATGATAAAAATTAATAAGATAAACATAATAATTATTAATTTATTTTCTTTTAGTGTCCTCTAGATTTTTACATTCATTTAAAACAAAAATATTTTGTATGTTAATTTGAATTAATTTAACGAAGTATCATATGATTTTTAATTTTTTAAAAATTTTAATAAATTTGATCTATACATGAAAAACTTTTTAATTTAACAATTAAATTCTTAAAAATTTGGCATCCACCTATGCATTTACATGGCATTCACGTGACGAACAGTTAACTCCGTTTAAATGATTTGGACGGAAGTCACATGTTGAAACCAATTAATTTATTAGGAACCAAATTGAAACCAATTAATTAGTTTGCGACCAAATTGAAATCAAAAATAAAAGTGGGACTAAATTGAAACAAACAATTATTATAAGGGACCAAAATAAGTTTTTAGCCTAATAAAGATTATTGTTTAAGAACCAATTCTTAAAAATCGATATGTAAGAATTGTTCTTACATCTAATTACACTCATATCATCATACCATAAAATTTGTAAAAACTAATTAATTCTTATATTTAAGAATTTTATTTAGAACTATCAATGGAGATAACATAAATTTATTTATATGACGAGTTAGTATATATATTCTATGGTCTACTTAATTGATAGGTTTGTGAGCATGTTTAAGTTAACCATTTTATCTCATTAACTTGTAAATCAATATTACAATAAGAGTCATCTTAGCGACAATCTTTTTAACTTTCTCTTTCTGATGTCTTTTTTATTTTTATTTTTTATATCATTGATTGATATTTAGGAATTTTAATAAACGAAAGGAAAATGTTTTATAAAATTTTGTTTGATAGAGAAGAGAGGGATTTTAATAAAGAGGAGATGATATAATGATGGAATCATGCTAAGGAAGGCAAGAGGTGACAACTTCAGAATGTGGTCTGAGCCACGTATGCTGCTAAGGAGATTCTAAAGTTGGATCCTCGGGACACAGGAGCCTATGTGTTGTTATCTAATATTTATGCAATTTCAAAAAGGTGGAATGATGTTGCAAAAGTTCGGAGGGCTATGAAAACAAGGGGCATAAGGAAAGAACCTGGATGTAGCTGGATTGAAGTCAATAAGCAAATACATGCTTTTATTTTGGGAGATAAATCACATCCTCAAATAGATGAGATCAATAGACAATTGAATCAATTTATTTGTAGACTAACTGGCGCTGGTTATGTTCCTGACACAAATTTTGTACTGCAAGATCTTGAAGGGGAACAGAGAGAAGACTCTCTTCGATACCACAGTGAGAAACTGGCAATTGTTTTTGGTATCATGAACTCTCCGAAGGAGAAAACTATTAGAATATGGAAGAACCTAAAGATCTGTGGCGATTGTCATATATTTGCAAAACTTATAGCAAAGTTAGAGCAGCGGCATATTGTAATTAGAGACCCTATTCGATACCATCATTTTCGAGATGGGGTCTGCTCCTGTGGCGACTATTGGTAGCAAATGAGAGGCACCAAGACCAAGACAGAATCTGACTACTTTTGGGCTCAAAGCAGCACACTTAAATCTACAATCAGCTGATATTTATAGGAGAATAAGTTTGCAGCAATAAAATTGCTGTTAGTTAATATGTCAGACAAGTTGAGTAAGATTATTCTTTCTATCAGCTGATATTTACTGGAGAATAATGTTTGCAGCAGTAGCATTGCTGTTAGTTGATATGTCAGTCAGGTTGAGTGACCTTATTCTTTCTCTTTTTCTTTATTTTCTTAAACTAATAGTTCAAACTATACTAAACACCTTGAACTATGGTTTTAAACTGCAAATTAATTGTTTCAGTTAAATATAAGAGAAGTCAAGTCTCCAGCACTTCATCCAGTTTTCTATGTGCCCCAGCCTCAGCTCTTTTTACCCCAGTAACTCTGTAACCTCTCCCATTTTCTACTTCCCAATATTTGGGCAAGGTCTCTTGATTCCTTCACCTATGTGCTTTGATTCACCTCACCTGCGACTATTACTCATGCTACCACCAACTCTTTATATTGTGTTTAACAGAAAGAAATGGAAAGATGGTCTTGGATGCATAATGGGATTTTTGCTAGCAAATTCACTCCTGCAACACAAGAAAGTTTGTTGTATAACATGGGATCTGAAGATGACTCAAATGTGAGATTCTGATGATGCTTTGGGGACGTTGCCTTTTGGAGCTTTTGATGGTGCCTGAAGCAAAACCTGATTGCAGCTGGTGCGTTGGTGAAGGGAAACGAGCAGAAAGCGAGGTTGCTGGGTTGAACATGCTCCTTGATTGCTGGTTTTAGCAAAAAGCATTGTCCAAAGGGTTTTGTTGACACAAAAAGACTTCATGGGCATAAGTTTGGCAATGCCTATATTTTAAAAGCTAAAAACCTATTTTAGTCCCTTATAATAATTATTTATTTCAATTTAGTCCCACTTTTATTTTTGATTTCAATTTGGTCCCAAACTAATCAATTGGTTTTAATTAGGTGCCTAATAAATTAATTGATTTCAATGTGGGACTTCCGTCCAAATTTCTTTAACGGTGTTAACTGTTGGCCACGTGGATGTCACGTGGATGACACGTGGATGCCAATTTTTTTTGAAAATACCTTGAATCAGAACGGCCCGTTCTGAACCCAAAACGTCCCGTTCCAAAACTGAGTACAGAATATTATTTATTAATTTTATTAAAAAATATAATAATTTTGAAAAATATTTTTTTATGGTAAAAAATTTAAAATTACTTATTTTTATAAAATAAAATTATCTTATAAATAGAGTAATAAGTTTTTATTTTTCTCTTTCTATCTGAAGAAATATTTAAGTGTCACTTTATAATTTTTTGTAACTTATTTAAAATTAGAGGAATAAAATGATAAAAATTAATAAGATAAACATAATAAAATTATTAATTTAT